AGGCAGCTGGGGGCAGTTCATCCTCTAAACTCCAGCATGTTCACCCAGGCACCATATGACATCTGACCTGGCTCAGCAAAGTCTTGTGGGACCTGCTCCTCAGGACAGTGGGACGCTCTCTCCAAGCTCTTTGCAGCCATTTGCTGTTAGAATGAAGGGCCTGTCTTGAATGGGGAGATGTAAAATTGCTAAACACGCTGTGTGTTGGAGAAAAGAACATATTAGCACCAGGAAGACATCAAGATGAACCAAATCTCAACACAGACATTCAGGTTCTTAGGGAAAACAATATAATTCAAGGCTGTCCTACCATGGGCTCCTTTCCAGCAAATGCTGCTGCAAACCAGTGGGTGAAAATGGTGGCAAATGTCTCTCCTGCCATCTGTCTCTGCCGGAGACCTGGGGAGTGAATGAGAAGCTAAATGAGTCACATACAACATTTCCACACCATCTTGTATAACAAGGACAGCACAACTCTGACTTCTTAAAGACCCCCGGGAGCTATTGGCTGTGGTAAATGGGAGAGACAATTTATTAGGGTGATGTATGTTTCTTAGTTTCTAATGATACATAAATTATCCCATGAGCCATGATACATATGGTTTAAAGAGAATTTTAAATGAAAGCAATTTTTTTTTCCCAGCAACACTAATTGCCTAGCAGCAGTAAATTACTCATCCCCCGCTGCCTGTGGGCTGTGGTCATTATTCTCTCCTCGAGGTTGTGCAGATGTCCCCCAAGAGGAATGTTTGCTATGACAAAGTGAATTTACATCTTCACTTGTGTGTCTGCCATGCTGGGTCTACCAGAGGAGAGAGTATTAATAGCACCATTTGGACCTAGCCCCATGGGTTGCGCCAGCCTGCGTGTGTTATCCGTGATAGCCGGACAAGGAGGTGGTCATAGCTCTTGGTTGCCTTTGGGGGAAAATCAGGGAGCCGTTATCAATATTTAATTTTCTCCAGCTGGAGGGTTTGAGAGGTAGACTTGGCTAATAAGCATGGACATTTCCTAGATGACAAGTTGGCCAAGGGAAGTGATAAGCACCACTAATTTGGGGAAACACTGGGTAACCACATGATGTGTAGATGGAAAAAGGAGATGCTATTAAAGACAATTAATTCAATGCATATTTGTTGATTTCTAATACTGTAGTAGGTACTAAGGATGCAAGGAATGAATTCCATGATCTCTGGGCCCCAAGAAGTTTAAAGTCTAGTGCGGAAGACAACAATGTACAAAGCAAGGATAAGACAGGGCCACCCGAAGTGCTGTGTGAGAGCAGAATGGCCATAGCTCCTGCTTGTCTGAAGGATAAATTAAGGCTTCTTATGGAGAACTGGACAAGGTTGGAAATGAGACTGGAATAATAAATTGTGCTTGGCCAGATGGCCGTGGTGTGGGGTCAGGGTGGAGCTTTCTGGAGGAAAGCAATGGTAGGCCAAAGGCATGGATATATGAGAGAACCCAACCAGTTACTAAAACTGTTTTGGGGTGGTTAGAACGCAGGTTATGTATTGAGGAAAGTAATAGAAGACAAGACCAGAGAAGTGGTAGGCAAGGCCATAGGGACCATAGGGACCAGGGAGCTACACGGCCAGAAAAGACAGCACCATGAAGGACGGATTAGATTTGGGTGAGATGAGTGGGAAAATTAGTTACAAAGCTGCTGCCATCATCCAGATTAAAACAGCAACACAGTGATGCCATTTCCCTGTAATTAAGCACAATAACAAACACAAGGAGAAATTTGCCTGAAAACTGTCTCTAGGGAATATACCAGATCTCATGTATATGTTTTATCTACCTGTATACATATTTTTTCTTTTTCAGAAGACTTTTCTGCTAAATACCCTGTCATTTTCTTGGGAGTTCATGCTTTTGGACTATGCATTTAGAGAGAAGGGTCTGTTTTCCTAACTCCTGTTATGGAGAAATACACTTATTAGGAGGAATGGCTTGAATGCATATTTCTATCCCATGGGCATTTCTCCTTCCCATACACTTAAAAGAAGCTTATCCAAGACTTTGTTTCTGCAGCATCCGGCCACACCTGCCCTATATACACACATGCACGCACGTACACACACACACATGCAAGCATGCGCATACACACACACGTACACACGCACGCACATGCACTCTGTAGTACCAGACCTTAAGGCCAGCCACCATTTGCATCTGTAAAGGTGACAACGTGTGTGTGTGTGTGTGTGTGTGTGTAACTGCCATTAAAGCCAGCCTGACTTCCATTGTCTGAAGCTTACAGATCGCAGAGACTCTATGAAGAAGTCCCTCTCCCTCACCACTCCCCCATGGCCGCTATCAAGATTCAGGTGTGGGGTCACAAAGGTTCAGAACTAAGTGGGGCTCCCTAAGAAAGGGGGGTGTTCCGGGTAAATGCTAGGAGGTGCTTCCCGTTTATGCCTCCCTTAGGCAGGGGCCGTGAGTGGGGAGGTCGAGAATTAGGGGATGGGGGCGAACTGACTGAGGGACTCAGAGGACTGTCTTCTGCCCACCCCCACTGCCTCAATTTGGGGGATGGTAATGAATGAGGTCATGTTAGAGGAGTATTCCTGAGCCTGATGGCCCAGGAGGGGACTGTGTGTCTGGGGGGCGCAGGGCAAAGAGGGTGGCGTGGCCCTTGCCTCACAAATGAAGAAGACATGGAGTTGTCCATGTGCCTGAGTGCACATGGGGCTGATCTGCCTATTTCTTTCCAGAGCCCAACAGAGAACGGCAGTGGTTTGGGCCAAGACCAACCCTGATACCTGTTTGCAAGCTCTTTCTGACTCTGGTAAAACAACTCTGAGTGCTGTGGGTGGTAAACTCTTAATACTTCCTTAACATGTGGAATGTGTGGGGCGGCAGGGTGCTAGGAAACCCCATCAGGAGCTTCCGTACTTCCCAGAGCAGGAGGTCAGAGGAGCCCGGCTGGGCACCAGTGGTGAGGGAGAATGCTCGAAGCTCTGCTGACTGACCAGGGAGCAGGGAGGTGATGCGGTCCCTGAGGGGCGCCGTGGGCAGCTGGCTCAGGCTGCATGCTCAAAGGACCAAACCATGGGCTCAGCAGGATCCATACCGGCACTGTGACACTGGCTGAGCAGCGAGACATGCCAATGTGGGGAAACTACCATGTCCACACTCACCCTTGGCCAGTGAGGCCACCCAGCCCAAGTCCAATCTCTGGGCAGGTGCATCTGAGCTGCCAGCCAGACTAACACAGAGACTGCTTCCCATATCCTTTCTTGAGTAGGTCACATTCTAAAACAGGTTTTAAGGACCCAAAGTAACAGACTGAGGAAGGGTTACATGACGATTTACAAGAATTTTCTTTCCCTGTCATAAATGCTTCCATAGTGCATCTGGAAAAGATGACCATAAGATGACAGGCAGTTGAGGGAAGCTTTAGTGTGAGTGTCTGTGGCTAATACAGTGATGACATGACTCTCTCTCTCATAATTTTCTCTAGGCTTAGAGTGCCTCTGACCTTTAAACCTCGTATAAAATATTCTGTTTAAGTTTCACATTTATATGACTGAGGCGAAAGAACTGACATTGATTGCTCTACCTTAAAAATGAAGGAAGTAAATGGGATAAAACCCATCGATATACATCTTCCCCATCAGCCTTTTTCAAAGAATGGCCGTTCACGTTTATGGCAGACAACTCAGAGGGAAAGTTATGGAACAGAAATGGGTACAAACCAAATGAGCCGCCAGTATCATAAACCAGTATTATCAGGAATGTGTCTTAAAAAGATGACCCTTCAGCACCTTAGCACCATGGAGCCAAACAAATTCCGAGCGGATTAAAGATTTAAGTGTGAAGAACAGTCTGTAACAGAACTAGAAACAAGTATAGATGAACACTGATCTGACACGAGAAATAGAGAAAGGCTTTCTGGGTTTAAGTCTATCAGTAAACCATAACAAAAATCATTTAGATTTACTCCACAAAAGTGAAAAATGTCAGAGAATGAAGAATGTAAACAAAAGGGGCACCTGGGTGGCTCAGTCAGTGGAGGGTCTGACTCTCGGTTTTGGCTCAGGGCTCAGATCATGATGTCAGGGTTGAGGTGGAGCCCCACCTCCCATCCCCGCTCAGCAAGGAGTCTGCTTGAACATTCATCCCTCTACACCTCCCCCACCCCTCTCTACAATACATAACGAAATTTTCAAAAAAGAAGAATGTAAACAAAATTTTAAAAGCGTACTCAGAAAAAAAACAACAACTGCGGCATATACAACTGGCTTAGAATCCTTGCTCGATGAGGAAGCACTACAAATTCCTGAAGGGTGAGCCCCTGACGGTAGGGACTACATTTTCTGTGTCTCCATGTTTCATGTGCATAGCAGGGTTCCTGGTGAGTAGCAAGTGCTCAAAAAATAGTATATGTTTAAAAAGGTATTTTGGTTGAATGCCTACTATGTACAGGTAGTATTGCTACCCATCACAACATCCGAATTTCCATTTTACCAAAGAGAAAACTGAGCACAGAGTAGGTGGCAGAGACCGGCTTCATGTCCGAATCTTCTGGCTCCCAAACTCTCCCCCAACTCACCCTGCTTCCTGCCTTCTAAATACTTCTTGCTGAATCAAATTGAATAGCAGAAAATTAAGTGTCACCTGCTTAATGAGAAGTGTGACTTTTATTTTTGAACCACACCTTGTTCAAAGGAAACAAGGAAACAAGTTTCCTTGAAGTCACACAACACTGGTGCTAATGGAAGACAAATCTGTCTTTGTAGGGGAGCTGAGAAAGCTCCATAGAAGCTCCCAGCCGTAACACGGAATTGCCAAGCAATTTAGACAACTCGCTGAGCTGCCCCAAGCCTCAGACTCCTTATCTGTAATGCAGAGATAATAAAATCGAGAATACAGGAAGGTACAGGAAGGTAAAGGAGCTTTCCAACGTCACACCACAGTAGACACCAGAGCTGGGACACAAGACTGAGGGAGAACATCTTTAGAGCTGAGTAGTTCACAAGGTAGACATAATGGACGTAAGCAGCTTTGAAAAGGATAAACCGGATACACTGGTGAGTGGAGGTAAAACTCAAGGTTATAAGCCTGCGTATGTGGGTGTGTGTGTGTGTGTTTATGTGTGTGTGAGAATCGTGAAAATCAAAGCTTGATGGGGACATCGCAAATGTCTGGGTATGTCCTTCTTGACCTATAATCTATCTTTCAATGGACATGGCTGGAAATGTCTGCTGACAGACTGGCCATCCCCTCCCTCGCACCCCCTTTATGTAAAGCAGTGTGGTAATACTGACTAATGGATCAAAGTCAGTATGCCCACATTTAGAATCTCATCTAACAGCCTCCTTGTTTTAAAAAAGATTTTATTTATTTATTTGAGAGAGAAAGAGTTAGTGAGAGAGTGAGAGAGAGAGCACGAGCATAAGCGAGGAGGAGAGGGAGAAGTAGGCTCCCCCCTGAGCAAGGAGGCTAATGCGGGGCTTGATCCCAGGGCTCAGGGATCATGACCTGACCTGAAGGCAGACACTTAACTGACTGAGTCACCCAGGTGCCCCTAACAGTCTCCTTTAAAAAAAAGAAAAGAAAAGAAAATGAAAGTAAAACATAATTACGGACAGTGGGGTGGATTTTCTGGCAAGTGCAATAATGAATCACTACATAGTTATGATTGAATAATAAAACCACCCCATAAAACTTCGACTCAGCATGTCTTTCATCTTACTGGCCAGAAGCCAAGAGAGCCAGCGTTAGTAACATGTTTTAATATTGCTCATGTACTTTTCATGTCTCATTGTAGTATTTGACCATTGATGAAGTCAGCAGTGGTACACGCAACTCAATGCACGTACCTTTCAGAAAATGTCCTTCATATTCTCTGTACCTCTAATTTATAGAATTTATTTTTCTGAACCATTTGAGAGAAGGTTGCATATATTATGCCTAAATATATCAGAATGTATTTCCTATCAAGAATGGCTTCTTGGGGTGCCTGGGTGGCTCAGTAGGTTAAGCCTCTGCCTTCAGCTCAGGTCATGATCTCAGGGTCCTGGAATCGAGCCCCACATTGGGCTCTCTGCTCTGCGGGGAGCCTGCTTCCTCCTCTCTCTCTCTCTCTCTCTGCCTGCCTCTCTGCCTACTTGTGATCTCTGTCTCTGTGTCAAATAAATAAATTAAATCTTAAAAAAAAAAAAAAAGAGTGGCTTTCTATTGAACCACAGTCTGGTGATCAAACTCAGGAAATGAAGCATTACTACAACACTTTCATCAAATCTTGCTGCACTTAATCCAATTGCATCTGTTGTCCCAATAGTGTTCTTGCCGCCATTCTTTTTCCCCTCCGGCATGGGACTGCTGAGTTTAGCCATCACGCCTCCTTACTTTCCTTTCATCTGGAAAACCTCCCCAGCCTTTCTTTGTCTTCCACGGCACTGAGATTTTTGAAAACTACTGGTCATTATTTGCATGTAGCCCCTTAACGTGGATTTGTCGATGCTTCCTCATGATTAGATTCAGGCTACGCATGTTTGGGGGACAGATCACAGAAGCACTGTGGTGTCCTCCTCTGCGTATCATATCTGAGGTACGTGACATTGGTCTGCCCCTCATGGGTGATACTCGTTTTGATCGCCCTATAAGGTGTTCTCAGGTCTCTCCATCCTTGCTGTGGCCACGAAAATGCAAGGCCTGGCTCTCCTGCTATGAGGAGCCCCCTGGAGGCTGCATCTGTTGCCCAGCTCTGCTCCGAATCTGTCTGCACCTGTCTGAAGTTGAGCTTTCCATGGATCACTTGGCCAGTGGGGGGATGCAACAGTGGTCCTAAAGCAGGCTCGTTTCTGGTACGCGGGGAACCCTCTGGTGGCCTCCCTATCAGCTTGGCTGGATCCCTCTCCGATCTAGGCTGCTTCTAAGACTTTCCTACTTGACATTCCTCCTCTTCCTCTGTCCATCTTGGGGTCAGACCCACACTGCAGCCTCACAGCCCTCCTGGCCTCCACTGGCTCGCTCCCCTTTTTCCCTTACAGGAGCTGGCCCACAAATCCTCTTGCATTTCTAGTCCTATATTGGCACTCTGCCTCTTGGAGGGTCTGAAGTAACACATCATGGTCCTGAAAAAGATGGTTGAAACGACGTGTAAGACGGAGATCTGAGCCTAGTTTATTCATCCCTGGTAGGCAAAGAAGGTGGGGCAAAGAGAGTCCCTGATACAAGCCAGTGGCCCACTTGCCAAGGCTTTCCCTGGTGGTGACCTGGGAAAGCGTCTTGGTGGTGGGGACTGCTGTCACAGCTGCAGTGATTTGGAATGATTCCGGCATTTAGAAGACACGGTGAAAGGGATGCTTACAAAGACAGTAGAGTGGTTTCATCACTTCTAAGTTGATTGACACTCTGCCGAGAGATGAGAAACTGTAGACTGAGATCAAGTAGTTAAGGCCAAGTAGGAGAGCAGAGGTCTTGGTGGAAGCCTACATAGAGCCCCTGATTCCCTGTGGCATAAGAGCACACAGGCTGGGCAGCAGACCGAGCACCCTGTTTCATAGACTTCCTCACCCCTACTTGATATGTCGGTAGATTTCCTTGCCCCTGTTTTAAAATGGAGGCTTGAAGAGACGATGTAACTCGCCTTTCTTCACCCACATTTCTGACAATTCTGCCTGCCTCCACAGCACTTAACTCTTTCTTCAGATGCCTTTGTGTGGATCCACAGATTCTACAGAAGGAGAAGAAGGGGGGGCACCTGGGTGGCTCAGTGGGTTAAAGCCTGTGCCTTCAGCTCAGGTCATGATCTCAGAGTCCTGGGATCGAGCCCCACATCGGGCCCTCTGCTCAGTGGGGAGCCTGCTTCCTTCTCTCTCTCTCTCTGCCTGCTTCTCTGCCTACTTGTGATCTCGGTCTGTCAAGTAAATAAATAAAATCTTAAAAAAAAAAAAAAAAGGAGAAGAAGGCCATGACCTTTGGAGGGAATGCTGCTATCTCCTATCTACTGTCTATTCAGCCTCATCCCCTCTTCCCTACAATTTTGACTGCAATTTTTTTCCTTACCAGATTCACATTATTTACCTCAAGAATTTGGTGTTATCTACATAGGAGTAGTGAGTCAAGTCATAAGAAGGCAGTGCAAGATATTCTAGCCCTACTTACAAGAGCCACAAAACCCATTATTTTTTTTTTTTTTTTTTTTTTTTAAAGATTTTATTTATTTGACAGAGAGATCACAAGCAGGCGGAGAGGCAGGCAGAGAGAGAGGAGGAAGCAGGCTCCCCGAGTAGGGGGAGGAGCAGAGGGAGAAGCAGGCTCCCCACTGAGCAGGGAGTCCGATGCTGCACTCCATCCGAGGACCCCAAGATCATGACCTGAGGCAAAAGCAGATGTTTAACCAAGGGAGCCCCTCAGGTGCCCCTAAAATTCATTTTAAAGCATCTAGAAAAGGGGTGCCTGGGTGGCTCAGTCATTAAGCATCTGCCTTTGGCTCAGGTCATGATTCTGGTGTCCAGGGATCAAGCCCTGCACTGGGCTCCCTGCTCAGTGGGGAGCCTGCTTCTCCCTCTGCTCCTCCCCCTACTCATGCTCTCTTTCTCTCAGATAAATAAATAAAATCTTTAAAAAAAAAAAAATGAGGGCGCCTGGGTGGCTCAGTGGGTTAAGCCTCTGCCTTTGGCTCAGGTCACGATCTCAGGGTCCTGGGATGGAGACCTGCATCAGGCTCTCTGCTCAGTGGGGAGCCTGCTTCCTCCTCTCTCTCTGCCTGCCTCTCTGCCTACTTGTGATCTCTCTCTCTCTGTCAAATAAATAAATAAAATCTTTAAAAAATAAAAATGAGTATTAATAATAGAGACAACAACAAGATAAGTTAGCTAGATACTTTCCTGCTTTTTGGGACCATACCTCTTAAAAACTCATTTTGGTTTCCCCCCTACAGTTTGAAGATCTGAACACAGTTGCCGAGTGTCTGTTTTCTCTGGTCAACGGCGATGACATGTTTGCGACCTTCGCTCAAATCCAGCAGAAGAGCATCTTGGTGTGGCTGTTCAGTCGCCTGTACTTGTACTCCTTCATCAGTCTTTTCATATATATGATCCTCAGCCTGTTCATCGCACTGATTACAGATTCCTACGACACCATTAAGGTCAGTCACATTTCCTGCCAAAAAATGACAACAAATTCTGTATGGGTTGGAACGTTGGAAAATGCTATGCTTTTTTTTTTTTTTAACTTAAAATAGTACTCTTTTATTTGGATTTTGAGATTTTTCTAGAAAAGAAACTTCGTAGGTGCTGGTGGTGAATTTCAGATATGCATTTCGGGCATTGTCCCTGTCACCCAGACCGAGGCGGACTGTTTTGGAGGTGTGTTGGAAAAGAGAAAGGATGTGGGTCCCAGTGGGCTGAGTTAGGTCAGTCAGGGAGCTGGGCTGTCAGTCTCCACAGTGGCAGCTGTACCTGCCCGTCTTGGAACTTAAGCTTAGAATAATAAGCTTCAGCGATAAGGGATGACGGCCACCTTGACAGCCTGTCCAGATGCAGGCATGCCTGGACGCTGCACGACATGGCCATCTGCGTGGTGCAGGTTTCCTTGAGATAATGAAAACTTAGGCTTTCATGGCTGCCTTGCCTCTTGCCTCCCTCAGCCGCCCTGTGGTCTGTGTGCTTTCAGACCGATCTGCATCGTTGCTCTGTAGCTCACAGGAAGCTCTGTGCCCCCTCGTGGGATGGCCCCTCCGCAGCAGAGGGTCGTGCTTGGAAAATCCCATTTCGGGACCCGCATCTGAACACCCAGAGGTGTTATGTCAATGCCTTGGGGTTTTGTCCTCTTCTTAAACTCAAACTAATTCAGAAGAAGACCATCCATTGAGGGGCGCCTGGGTGGCTCAGTTGGTTAAGCATCTGCCTGTGGCTCAGGTCATGATCTCAGGGTCCTGGGATCAAGCCCACGTTGGGCTCCCTCGGCAAGGGAGCCTGCTTCTCCCTCTCCCTCTGCCTGCTGTTCCCCCTGCTTGTGCTCTCACTCTCTCTGACAAATAAGTAAAATCTTAAAAAAAAGAAAAAAAGAGAGAGAAGAAGAAGAAAACAACAATGACAATGACCACCGTCCACTGGAAATGCTCCCGAGTGCTTTGTCGATGGGGAGACAAGTGCTCACATGGGGATGGGTGGTTGGCTCTAGTAGCAGGGCTGGGCATGGAGATGGGAACTGCACACTCTTGCCCTGGGGGTTCCTGTCTTTGATGAGGCTGTGGCTCTGGGAGTGGGTCAAGCCTCGGTGCCCTCAGGAAGCATGGGACAAGCGGGGTCTCAGGCAGGGTCTTTTTGTCTACTGCGAAGAACTTACTGCCTTCTGCCCCACTGAGTGTCCAACTTCTATAAAAGTAGAGGAAACAGGCCTTACTCCTCTCTAGACTCTATACTGGCAGTGAGAGAAAGGGGAGATCTTATCTGGTCTTATAATTAGCATTAAAATTTTAGACTTTTGACTATTTCCTTCATCCCCCTTACTAACCCACCCCTCCCCTGCCCAGCCATGGCTTTCTTTCTGGGACTTTCGGATTGTTTCTGTTCCCATGGTGGCCCTGGCTTGGCTTTTAGGACTGACAGATTGATGCATCACTGTTAATATCAGTTCTTGGATCTGAGCGAGCAATGTGGGAGAGTTTTATTTTAGCCAAGGTGGGTTTGATGTGTTGACAAAGGGAGAAGTTTCTCATGCTCTATAAATAAGGTAACAACACTGTGTACTTTTTACAGAAATACCAACAGAATGGGTTTCCTGAAACGGATCTTCAGGAATTCCTGAAGGAACGTAGTAGCAAAGAGAAGTATCAGAAAGAGTCCTCAGCCTTCTTGTCGTGCGTCTGCTGCCTGAGGAGGTCAGTATGGTGTTTAATCAGGTCTCCATGCTCCTACGATGAGCTTCTCCATGGCCTTAACAAAGAGTTCTTCCAAGGTTTACTCTGCACTCAGAAATCAGCTCATTGTGGGAAATGATTTGTCTTTCATTTTCTTTCCTCCCACAGAAACTGGTTTCAGAAATGAATTGTTTCTTTTAAAATGCGGTAGAAAGCCACATGACATGGTTGAAATCTCTTGGGGCTATTATGAGACTCTAATGGGAAGTCATGAGTTATGTCCCTAAAGTCAAGAAGGTGAACTCTGAGGTGGCCATGTGAGAGGTCCAAACTCTTATTTTTAGAGGTGGAGCTCTGGGAATGTCAAAGGCCTTTTCCCTTGCTGCAATACTGGGTACAAATAACATTTCTTGAGCAGAGTGGGAAACCTGCTTGAGAGGAGGCCTTGTCTGGGAGCACACATCAGTAGCTCTACCTTGACCAACTTGGCTCGTGTCAGCAGGACACTCAAGCAAATGGTCTACACCTCGACAGCAAAACATCCATGTGGTGTTTTGGGGGCTAGAATGGAGGTCAGATGAGGATAGTTTGCTTGATTGTACCCTTGTTTGTTTTCATGTGAAAACACGTCAGAGGTGGGGTTGTTAACTAAAAATACCCCCACCCATGTTTTCTGAGAAGAATTCTCTAAACCAAATTCCTGAAGGCAGACGGAAGAACATAATTGCTACTTAAAACCACAAGATGTATTTTCTCTTAATTCATACCGCATCTTGGGATTTTGAAATGATATGATTGAGCATTTCCAAAGAATGTCTGATAAGTACAAAATGAGGTCTTCTGAGAAAAGTGAAGTTTTAAAAAATCACATTTTTTCCTCTCAGAGCATTAAATTGTTGCCATAGGAGCTGAGATAAAGGGACATTAACTTTCCTAATAGACAGCTGCTGCCCAAGAGGTACCTTGTATAAGAAAAGTCTTGTGAAGTTGCTCCTTCTCATGTGCATTTAACTGTAAAGAAAAAATATTCATCAGAGAAAGTAATTGTGAATTCTGGAAAGTAACCAGTCAGTCTTTGGTGTTTGGTTTTTGGACCTTGGTGTGCATCACAAAAAGCCACAGGTGATTTTTTAAATGTTTTCTCATGCAGCCATATGGAATGAGTAAAAGGTTTAAGGGGTAGAGGAGAAAAGTTCTTGATCAGATTGGGTCTGAGGGCTGAGAAGAAGTAGCAGTATCAGCAGACTGTCCTCTGTGTGCTGTGCTAGGGGCCATTGAGAAGATGCTGGTTCAGGGGAGGGTCTGCTGGTCATGATGAATGAAAGAATTAAATGGAATGAAGGCATCCACCAAGGAAGTCAACTGAAGAACTAAAATGTTGAAAGTTTTGAGCAAAGGGATCTCAAAAATGAAAACAGGAGTGTCTGTTACTAAAGACGGTCATGGGTGAAGTCAGCTAGAGCGGTTTGACTTGACTCATCAGATCAAGGCCTGGATCCTGAGCAGATTTGGATGGACCCTGATGAGAGTAAATGAAGGTCATGGGACTGAGGCAGGGAATGGATTGTTCTGAGAATAAGTGATGGTTTTGACTCCATCAAAACTCAGCACCCCTGCCTGTGTTTAAAGGCTACAAATCTAAGAATGGTTTAATTGAGGGAAGCTGTAAATGGAGAGTAAATATTGGAGAAGGACCTCATGAGGGAACCTAGGGATTGAGGGCATCACAAATGTTGGTTTCAGGACCCCCAGCTGGTGCCTGTGACTGACAGACCCAGCTATCACATCTCTGCCTCCTGCAGAGCACAGACGGGTGTCACTCTCTTTTAATCAAGCAGTCCGGCGACCACCAGACTGATTCACCTTCAAATTATTGCTAGAGCCTCTAGCCTGATCCTCAGAAGACCTGAGTCTCTGTTTTGGAACCTACCGGTTACTAAATGTGTCCCCTGAGCTCTCTCCTTAATCTCCTGATCTTTCCAGTGCCACCAGACTGTGACATACGACCTCTGAAATGTCTTCCAGTTCTAATGTGATGTAATTCTTTGGAAAGATCTACTGGGATGGACAGATGCAGAGTTGAGCTTTTCCCTTCTCCACTGCAGTAAAGGGGAGAATCTGTTGTAGCCATTGAGTGAGGCTTTGTCAATATAAGGAGATGCAGGGTCCTAGGACAGGGACAGCTCCTCAGATATGCCAAAGGCATCCACTCAAACCAAAAATAATGTGCATTGTCCTTCTTAGCCTTTCTTCCTCTTCCATGTGACACTCAGCAGCTCTAGAACCTAAAGTAGTCCTCTTCCATCTCGAAGATTTTGAAATTGTTGTTTTCTCTTTCTTTGTCTCCCTTTCTGATACAGGAAAGGAAGTGAGGACCACTTGATACCTGTCACCTAAAGTCCTTCTGCTAAAGATAACCAAGTTTCAGGCCTAACTTTACCGAGTGACAATGCAGAGGGACCCTGAACAACTTGGACCAGCACTCCTCAAAATACTGAATTATTTATTGGTGGAGCAGGAAAGAGGACTGTGAGCTGGTTGAACACAACTGAAGTTCCAAAGTTCCTTTTATGAACTTGGATGATGAAGCATAGACCGCAGTCAACCACTGGGCATGAGTGCAATAGAGCCATGATAATGACATTCCGCTTCGGACTTTAATTTATGACGTCACAGTGGTGGGATGGAAAAAAGTATCAATTTCAGAGTGCGCAAAAACAATGGCACTTGAAGCCACGCGTTGAAAGATGCGTGTTTATCATCCAATAAGTGTTTGTTTTAAAAGTGATAATTGGATTCGAAGACATTTGTTAATTCATGGTGTGCACAGCAATGAGGTTGGTTGCAATACTAAATTAAAAATTCCAAGCTGGAGAACTAGTAAGCCTTTTAAAGAGCACACTTACATCAACAAAAAGACCACTTGTAGTGGACATGTCTGGGCCTATTTGTGTGTGTGTGTCAGCATGACAGGAAGCAACTGTTGGCATGGTCAGTGGGATAAACTGGAAACAGTCATTTGGAGACCTTGTCACTTGTGCTGAGTGTTGACAGTACCTGTGACATGTGGATGTGAACTGTAGCAGTGCTCACTCATTGTAACAGTTGAACTCTACTATGGTGGTGATTTGCCCTCGTCAAGCAAATAAAGATGGTATTTTTTTCCCCCAAATAAATTTATTTTTATCACAACAAAAGGAGCCGCTGCTATTTTTTTTAATGTAGTATTTCTTAATATCCACTGAGTGCAAAATTCAGATCATATCTCTTTTAACTATCTGGTCTCCAAATAGGATTTCTCACTTTCTTAAAGGCAGTGAAGGAAGGGTTAATGTATAGAAGTTATTCAATAAATATTTATGATAATGACTTGAGAGTAAGATCACTTCATGCATGGATTTATCTCTACTGTCACTATCTTTTAGGGGTCAACTATTTTAAATTTATTAGAGAAGAACAGAATTTGAATTAAGCAGGACACTCATCCCAAGGTTCTCCCTCTTTTTTCCCTGCTCCTCCCCGCCAAGCCCCTTTCAGATTTCCTTTCCCATACCCTGCCCTTTCCCCCCATACCCCCTTTCACCAAATCTAGGCCAAGAAAATCATTCACTTAATACCATTAAAATTAATAAGTAACTCATGTCTACACACAAGATACTTTGCTAAAGTGATCATTTTAGTTAACTTTATTTAAAAAAAAAGATTTTATTTATTTGAGAGAGAAAGAACATGAGTGGAGCGGGGGAGGGGCAAAGGGAGAGGAAGAAGCAGACTTCACGCTGAGCAGAGAGCCCAATTTGGGGCTCGATCCGAGGACCCTGAGACCACAACCCACGCTAAAAGTAGATGCTTAATCAACTGAGCCACCCAGGCGCCACATTTTAGTTAACTTCTTACTGAAAAATGTCAAGTTATATTCAACTTTTAAACTAAGGGACCACTTAACTGGTAGTTCTAGGGTCATTCCCAAGACTCCAGAATCAGGTATGTGATTGGATCACTCGATCACTTCTGAGTACACCCCCAGTATTTAGTCTCTGAATAGAACTGCTATTAAAGCCCTCTGTAGTCTGCAGCTGTGTGACGGCCATTTGAATAGAAGATGAATGATGGTCTTCTGTGCTCATGTTTTTCTTTTATTGGCTTTCATGTTTCCTTTTCTCTCTTTTCCCTCTAGCTAAACAAAACCCTTTCAGGAAGAAAACTCTTTTTCAAGGTTACCCTCTGACCATGAAAGCCTTGTTTTCTCTCTTTTTAGTAATTTTAAATGATTGCCATTTTGCCAACGGTATTATCCATTGGGGTTTTATTGAACAGTGTTGCTTTCACAGTTCTGCTCATAGACACATCTGGGGCAAACCATTTTCTCTCCCACCCAGGCCTCTGCTTGGAGAGTTCATCATGGAAGGTGGCAGATGTGTTCTCCTTGGTTCTGTTGGTTTCATCCTGGGATCTCCAACCTTTGAGGATGACCCTCCCAGCCAGACGCTACTCCCTGGAGCTTGTTGACTGGGGGTGGGAGGAAAGAGTCTGGGCGTGGGAGCCATCCGGAGTGACTCGAGTGAAAGTCCAAGCTTCCTCTGGAGCTCTGTCCTTCTGAATTATGGTGATAAACCTCAACAGACTGTGGGATTTGCATGTCAGAGAACTCGGGTAAATCTGGCACTAAAATTGGAACCTGAGCCATTCTTTCCTTCTGATTCTTCTGCCATGTTTGTAAGTAGGTTCCACAGTATCAGACAATAGTGAAGACATTAAGATGTTTAGTCTGCATCCCTTCTTCCTGGGCTCCTGTCCTCTTCCTACTGAGTCTCCTTGAACAGATCCCCAGGGCCTCAGTTTCCTCATCTGTACAATGGGGACCAGGAGGATTAAATGAGTCAAACATTAAGTGCCTAGAACTGGGCACGGCTCCTGAGTGCCTGGTGAATGTTATGTCTTTGAGAAGCTTTTCTAGCATAGTGTACAAGTGTGCAGATCTATTCACCTCGGCTGGCCAGGAAGATCTTTATTTTGTCGTGAGCTTACCACCCACTTTTAGTGAACTCTGTTCCAGCTAGGACTTTAAGTGTGGAAATACCCCACATCCAGTCCTGTGGGGAGTAGGCTTGGTGAACTGCTGCTGTGGTCTTGACTGTGGATTGTTCCTGCCACTGCAAAGATCCGTGGTATGTAAAGATAATGAGTCCCATCATCTGAAGGATTCCCCTGTAGCCACCACTTATTTCGGTAACTTTGGATGACTAGATCATGCTTTACTCTTAACCATGTCCACCTTTGTTTTCATGTAACTCGAGCAAATTTTATTTTGCTACTCCTCACTTCAAGTTTGAACATCCCAGCCATAATGTTATCGGAGTCTCTCTACAAAATCCAGAATAACATTACTTGTGAGACACACAGGAAGCAGTTCTTGTGGGACAGTAAGACCGAGGAACACCAGACGAACCCCTGAGCATGGTGTTCAGATTGGAGGCACTTGAGGAAGGACCGTGAGCTCTAGACATGGGAGGGAAAATGTGGTGGGCCGAGTTGGAGTGAGGGCAGAATGTGTCTGCTTTCCCGTCCCTTCTATTTGAGATGCTTGATTTTGATGCCATGCAGCTTTGTGGCCCCATGACCTATGTGTTCCCAAAGGACCCCACACGGGGTTTAATGCTTTGCCTGCACAGCCTTGCAATTCTTAATATTTTTTGAGCAAGAGGCCCCACAAGTCATGCAGCAAATTCTCATGTTAGGACAGTGTAACTCAGTGATGACCTCAATGATTAAAGCGTGGTCCTTTAGGAAAAAGCTAGGAACCCAGCATTGTACTTTGTCTTCAAACCAATGGAAATTTAATGAAAGGAAAGAGAGAACCCGAGTACATTGGCAGGTTGGCCGCTGGGTTGCTCACTTTCCCCCTCATGCTTCATTTGCTTATTTTCTATTCCGTGTGTTTCCCTTGACAGAGAGGCAGCTGGGGGCAGTTCATCCTCTAAACTCCAGCATGTTCACCCAGGCACCATATGACATCTGACCTGGCTCAGCAAAGTCTTGTGGGACCTGCTCCTCAGGACAGTGGGACGCTCTCTCCAAGCTCTTTGCAGCCATTTGCTGTTAGAATGAAGGGCCTGTCTTGAATGGGGAGATGTAAAATTGCTAAACACGCTGTGTGTTGGAGAAAAGAACATATTAGCACCAGGAAGACATCAAGATGAACCAAATCTCAACACAGACATTCAGGTTCTTAGGGAAAACAATATAATTCAAGGCTGTCCTACCATGGGCTCCTTTCCAGCAAATGCTGCTGCAAACCAGTGGGTGAAAATGGTGGCAAATGTCTCTCCTGCCATCTGTCTCTGCCGGAGACCTGGGGAGTGAATGAGAAGCTAAATGAGTCACATACAACATTTCCACACCATCTTGTATAACAAGGACAGCACAACTCTGACTTCTTAAAGACCCCCGGGAGCTATTGGCTGTGGTAAATGGGAGAGACAATTTATTAGGGTGATGTATGTTTCTTAGTTTCTAATGATACATAAATTATCCCATGAGCCATGATACATATGGTTTAAAGAGAATTTTAAATGAAAGCAATTTTTTTTTCCCAGCAACACTAATTGCCTAGCAGCAGTAAATTACTCATCCCCCGCTGCCTGTGGGCTGTGGTCATTATTCTCTCCTCGAGGTTGTGCAGATGTCCCCCAAGAGGAATGTTTGCTATGACAAAGTGAATTTACATCTTCACTTGTGTGTCTGCCATGCTGGGTCTACCAGAGGAGAGAGTATTAATAGCACCATTTGGACCTAGCCCCATGGGTTGCGCCAGCCTGCGTGTGTTATCCGTGATAGCCGGACAAGGAGGTGGTCATAGCTCTTGGTTGCCTTTGGGGGAAAATCAGGGAGCCGTTATCAATATTTAATTTTCTCCAGCTGGAGGGTTTGAGAGGTAGACTTGGCTAATAAGCATGGACATTTCCTAGATGACAAGTTGGCCAAGGGAAGTGATAAGCACCACTAATTTGGGGAAACACTGGGTAACCACATGATGTGTAGATGGAAAAAGGAGATGCTATTAAAGACAATTAATTCAATGCATATTTGTTGATTTCTAATACTGTAGTAGGTACTAAGGATGCAAGGAATGAATTCCATGATCTCTGGGCCCCAAGAAGTTTAAAGTCTAGTGCGGAAGACAACAATGTACAAAGCAAGGATAAGACAGGGCCACCCGAAGTGCTGTGTGAGAGCAGAATGGCCATAGCTCCTGCTTGTCTGAAGGATAAATTAAGGCTTCTTATGGAGAACTGGACAAGGTTGGAAATGAGACTGGAATAATAAATTGTGCTTGGCCAGATGGCCGTGGTGTGGGGTCAGGGTGGAGCTTTCTGGAGGAAAGCAATGGTAGGCCAAAGGCATGGATATATGAGAGAACCCAACCAGTTACTAAAACTGTTTTGGGGTGGTTAGAACGCAGGTTATGTATTGAGGAAAGTAATAGAAGACAAGACCAGAGAAGTGGTAGGCAAGGCCATAGGGACCATAGGGACCAGGGAGCTACACGGCCAGAAAAGACAGCACCATGAAGGACGGATTAGATTTGGGTGAGATGAGTGGGAAAATTAGTTACAAAGCTGCTGCCATCATCCAGATTAAAACAGCAACACAGTGATGCCATTTCCCTGTAATTAAGCACAATAACAAACACAAGGAGAAATTTGCCTGAAAACTGTCTCTAGGGAATATACCAGATCTCATGTATATGTTTTATCTACCTGTATACATATTTTTTCTTTTTCAGAAGACTTTTCTGCTAAATACCCTGTCATTTTCTTGGGAGTTCATGCTTTTGGACTATGCATTTAGAGAGAAGGGTCTGTTTTCCTAACTCCTGTTATGGAGAAATACACTTATTAGGAGGAATGGCTTGAATGCATATTTCTATCCCATGGGCATTTCTCCTTCCCATACACTTAAAAGAAGCTTATCCAAGACTTTGTTTCTGCAGCATCCGGCCACACCTGCCCTATATACACACATGCACGCACGTACACACACACACATGCAAGCATGCGCATACACACACACGTACACACGCACGCACATGCACTCTGTAGTACCAGACCTTAAGGCCAGCCACCATTTGCATCTGTAAAGGTGACAACGTGTGTGTGT